GTCCCGGCCAGGACCGGGTGGGGATCGGGCCGGTTCACAGCCCGGCCCTTGGGTTTTGGCGGGCCGGTCAAGGGTCACCCACAGGCCGGCGGCCCCAGCCGGGCCGTGGCCCAGCCCGTTGACTGCCATCTCTATTGCAATATTCGTATTTCTATTGAAATTTATTGAAGTGCGTTTCTCTTGGAATGATTTAAGGCCGTGATGAATTGTTTCGAAAGTTTGTGAGTGGATGAATATTTTCTTTCTTTGCTTTTGGTCGGTTTTGGTAATGACGACACTTAGGAATGATTAAATATAAAATATTTTGAATAAAAATTCTTATAGAGCTATCGAATGGTTTTCTTAGGGAGTCATCCACTACTTAATGTATTGACATTTGTTCAAATTGTATTTATTGTAGGACACGTGTCAATACATTATTGGTGAATAAATGTGGATGATTCCATAAGTCGAGTCATCCGATGGTTCCATAGCAAAATTGATATTTTGATTTGATTGATTTTTTTTTTCATAATCAGAGTTAATTTTGAAAATATTGATTGAGTTAGGTTTGAATCGTTTGTCTGAATTTTGAGTTTTTTTTTTAAATAATATTTAAAAATATAATAATTAAAATTGATTTGATTTAAAAGGAAGATAAAAGTGATTGGAGGTGGTAGGTACTTAGAGCAACTTTAATAAGAGGTTTTGAGAGGTTAAAAATTTCAAACCTCACGTGTTTTCCACTAAAAACATGAGGTTTGAGGTTTTTAGTAGAAGTTTGTAAAACCAAACCTCATGTGGACCCATGGGCGGAGCCACCCTTGGACTAGGGTGAGCTCTAGCACCATGTAATTTTTTTTTTCTTCATTAGTTTTACTTATTTTATTTGTAGCAACATTTAAATATTAGGGTGTGTTTGGTAAACCTAGCTGATAATCTAGCTGATAGCTTAAGCTAGCTGGTAGCTGATAAGCTATAAGCTAGCTTATAGCTTATAGCTTATGATTTATAGCTGAAAAGCTAGCTTATATGATAAAAGTGTTTGGTAAAACTAGCTTATAAGCTAGCTGAAATAAAAAGGTCAACTAGCTTATTTTGAAACGCTACCTAAACAAGCTTATCAAATAAGCTCGAGCTTTTTAAATAAGCTCATCCTACCAAACGGGGCTTATTTGATACAGAAAGCTTATAAGCTAACCAAATAAGCTATAAACTAGCTTATTATACGCGTCAAACACACCCTTAGTCTAGCATAATTTAGCTCATATACTTTTAGGAAGAAACTCAATAATTTATTAATTTTTCATCTCAAAAGTAGAAGAGGTTTGAGCATTTTTTTATAAACAAAAAAGACACAAATTATTGCTTATTCTAATTTTATTGTATAATTTCTTAAGAAGATTGTTAATTAATGTTTGTTTTAATTGCTTATTCTAATTTTACTGTACAATTTTTTAAGAAGGTTGTTAATTAATGCTTGTTTTAATAGTAATATTTCTTATGTTATGTAATGATCAAGAGCTAATAGGAATTGATCTTTAATGAAAAATTTAGAAATATACTTAGTTTGAATTTATGCACATAACTTATTTGATGAAAACACAACTAAACATTTGAGATAATAAAATTTAAATTTGTATAGACTAAAATCATATTTGGACATGATATAAGTCTCTATATACTTTCTTTATCGTTTAACATGTTGTGTTTCTTCTTATTGTTTTTTTTTTTT